CACACACCCCTCCTGATGCATTGCCAACCAAGGAAGTGAAGATGAAAGTCAACCAAAACCAAGGTGAGTCCCTATGTCGTTTCCTCTCTCTCTCTCTCTCTCTCTCTCTCTCTCTCTCTCTCTCTCTCTCTCTCTCTCTCTCTCTCTCTCTCTCACCTCCTGCTCCCTTCTACTGCCCTTCTCCTCCCTCGGGTACGGGGTGCTTCACCCTCTACCACCATAGCCAGGTCCGAGTCCTACTACTCCATAGTAGTAGTCATGGTGGTCTTCACCTTCACCGTCCAGCTCCACCAAGTGCTCCGCCAACTTCCCACTCTGGAAGAGAAGCACAATGCTCACTTGAAGAATGAACCGAAGAGAGCTCTATTGCTCTTGGCAGAAAATGATATACTTGTTTCGTACCAGGGACTTCCTGGCTGAATTTCACTGTAGCTTGGCCTCCCTTGGTGCACTGGACCTACAGGAAGTTCCTGCCTTTTGGTGGGAACATTATTGCCACCTGCAACTACCCCCCAGGGTCTACCTGCCTATGTATAGGCACTGGACCTTTGGGACGTTTTGGAGGTTACTGGATTTTTCCCCTGAGCCTAGCTGGCCCTAGCCCTACCTGAGCTGCTGGAAAAGGCCTGCCGGGTCCCTATCAAATTCTACAACTACCCCTGGCCGTCAAGAGCTCCTGGTAAGTTCTTTTGTTGCCAAATTTCGGGTCTGTCCCTGTGTCTATTCCCATTAACATTCTACCCCAGCTCGGGGTGCAGAAACACAGCACGGAAAACAGAGTTGGCACAAGAACAGGCTCGGACTCAGGCAAGCACAAGGCACATGCACGTTAGTGGTAGGTCACACACAGACTCAGAAAACACAGCAAACCACAGCAGAACACGGGAATCTCGGCAGTCCAGCAAGCAGCAGTACTCAGAGAACAGTGGAAATCACAGATTGATTCTGTGCGGGTCATTGCAGTTGATATTGCTGGTAGCAGTTTCACATGAGATATCCAGGTAATCAATTGGGATAATCGTTATCGTCTACTGTTTGAAGACGTTAGTTGACAACGTGACACCTTATTCCCATGTTCAGTTGGCAGTGGATTCCTCAGATAATCATCACTCTAGCATCATGATTTTCGTGCTTCTTTGGTGGGAATGCTTCCCAACCGCTTTCCAATATACGCCGAAGCACGGTAAGGGCCTGGGTATCATCTGTTGTATCCTACAATTCATAACCAAATCCTTAGACACTGGGCCCCGTTTCTTCCAAAAAAAAACAAAAAAAAAGTTAAAAAAACGAAACTATATTGCCACCACATAATGAGTGAGGAAGCAACAGTGTCGGTTCAAGCCAGCCAAGTATAACTGAGAAGTACTCACTGTGCTGCACGTTCAGTCTTTTCAATCTTCGCAATGGTTCTTCCCAAGTCGTTAATAGCAGCTGTCCGTAACTCCCTGTCATCTCTGAGCTCTGCTACCTCCAAAAGAAGGGATGAAAGCCTTGCATGCATCTCAGCCTTTTCTCCTTGCAAACGCTGAAGTTTCTGTTTAGCATGCGCAAGAATCAGAAGAATATTAGAATAATGAACAAGTGAGAAACTCAACTCTGAGTACAGAGATTGCAAATGTAGTTTCTAAACGACAGCACGGCACTCATGTCAGCTGTTACTTTGTCAAAAAAAGAAAAAAAGCTCGGGAGATATCCCGGGTGCAACATCTCTGGGCATGACCCCCCTTTAAACCCCTTTAGCCCCTTTAAAATTCATTTATAAATTATACTCCCCYCCCCCCCCCCCTTGACAGCCAACTCTCAAAAAAAGAAACGAGCCTGGATTTGGGCTCCTCTCGGAGAGCGCAGAAAAAAAACACTGCAATTTTTTATTTTTATTTTTTTCCCCATGCCCGGGTATCCTGGACGTCAGACTCCCCCGGGTGTCACGCCCGGGTGACCGGCCAGTCGTGAAAAATCTTCCTTAAAAAAAAGAAAAAAGAAAGGCTGCTCGAGGATTTTTTTTTTTTTTTTTTAAGGCTTTGTAGTTATAATCATGGTAACCCCGGACCCGGACACCGGACACTTCCGGACTGTCTTCCGGACCATTGTCTGGACCGGTCCGGACTGTCCGGTGATCCGGACATCACCGGACACTGGACAGTCCGGACCGGTCCCCCGGGTGCAAAAATGTCCGGACC